TGCCATAATGAGCTGTACGTGCCTTGGCCAGAGCGAGAGTGTTCTGAGCTTTCTTCTGCATAGGGTTCGGGTACGATGCGAGGCTCGTGAGACTCTTGACAGAGAAGGTTGACGCAAGGAGTATATCATCTCCAGTGGAGCTGTCATCGTCTCCAGTCGCTGAAGTGTTCTCCTTCAGGTCGGGAAGGGCGCCCAAGGCCGCAGTCGAAGGTGCTGGAAGATTTCCAGCTCTGATGGCAGGAAGTGACATGACAGCAGCTTGAGATTTCTCTGCATCGGCAAAGGGGCTGACGGCTCGATCAAGGTTTTGCTGCAAAGGCGAATAATGTGGCAAGGTAGTTTTTGTGAGAGGGGGTGATATCTCCGCTTCTGCCACGGGCAAAGCCGATAGGAGTGAATTGGGGAACGGACCGTAACCGTAGTGGCCCGGAGGTGACTGGAGTCCGTTGAATCGACGAGTGCGAGGCCGTCGAGTGGGAGGGTGTATCGGTGCCGTTGCATTGGGATTGTGAAGGGTGCCGACGGTATTAAAAGTAGCCGGCTTGGATGCCTTCGTCGTGTCTGTAGGCGAAAATATGAATGAGTTAGATGGAGGTGACGAAAAAGGATCCATTTGGATGGCTGGGCTGGTTGCACTTTGCTAATGAAGAAGTTTTGGGCAGATGGAGGAGAGTATGAAGGAAGGATGAATATGGAGATGACTTGCAAGTTGGCAAGGACGATATTTCAGTTCGCCAAAGCAAGGGAATGGAAGTTATTGGAGGGCCTGGCTGCCGGCCGCCATTGGCATAACTGGCTATCAAGGAGCAGTAGGGTTGAGTGTGGAAAGAGGAAAGAAAAAGGCCGGGACAACGTACCTTCTATGTCGGTTGTTGTGGGCTTGTGATCAGGAGATGTCGCAGCTGCCAATGCAGACTGAGCGCGCAGCCACTCTTGCAACTTGATTTCGCTCGCCATCAGATGAGCATGGCGAGCATGTCGCGGTTGTAGCATATCGGGGCTTGGAGGGGTAGGGGTATAGACTGGTATAGCTATCGTGTTCGATTTTTCTTCAGGTTGGCTCGCAGAGTAAACCTCAATCGCGGGAATGCGTCGAGGGGGCGCTTGCGAAACTGTCGCGGTCGGCTTGACGGGTTCGAGCGCCATCTTCAACTGCATAGTAGGAAAGACAAGCTGCTGCGCTCTAACTACCTACTCGCCCGCTGCGCGGCTGGGGTTCGGATTTTGTGACTGGAGCAATCACGACCTTGTTTGGCTTTCCTGTTGAGTACCTCTAGGTGGGAAGCAAAGGTGGTTCGCGAGGTGTTGTTGAGTAGGAGCAGAGGCGGTTGGGATTTTTGTCGTGGGTGCTTTCTTTTATACCCAGCTCTCCGCGGTTCGCCCGATAATTCTGTAGGCCCCGCCCCTCTGCAATGCCCGCAAGTGAAAGGAGGGTTGTTCTTTCCTCTTAGGAGGCAGTGCGCGCGTTCGTCCTTCCAATGTTGTCACGGTGTGATTTGTCTGCCGTCCCATTTTTCGGAAACGACGACTGCGGCTTTGATCCGTGTCTCCGTCATTGCCTGCGACCAATCCCACTGCAGGGGCAGTCTCGAAATAAGTACCTATATTACCCTTCTGATTGTAACATGAAAAACCTACTGCCAACCTGGAAATCAACATGGAAAGGACGTGTAGTGAATAGATCTTTCGTCGAGAAGCCAGCAAGACCTGGGAAGAGACAGGCACTGGTTCGCTTTGCTGATGACAGGAAAGCCAGAAAACAAAGTATCATGTGCCAATGCGGCGGCCTCTTGTTATCATGTCTCTAGGCATTGACTCTAGAGAGAGGAAAGAATGCCGCATCTCAATCACAGTAGACTAAGTTGACATATATAAGAAGTCGAGCCAAAGGATGACAAAAACAGCTCAAATCCTTGCCAGCACCTCTATATCCAGACCGAGTCGGCGCCAATAGTATTGATTAACCAGCCATGAGTTGGTGCAATGTCCAGTGAGTTTTCTTTGCTCATACAAATAGCTTGCTACTTCACTAGGCCAGTTTGATACCACGTAAAAGATCGACTGAGAAGGAAGAAGGGAACGAACAAAGAGACGAAAGTGAATAACGGCCATTTTGTTAGGTCCTTCTTGGGTTTGAGGCTGGCCGTGGACGTCAACAACCCATATTCTCAGATGACTTTTTTTTACCCCTCGAGATGACAACTAACTGTATATTGAATCAATGGCTGGGAAGATTTCCCCATAGCTTCCTTGATGGTACCATACGGCTCATTGAGGACATATAAAGTAAGTAATGGAGAAAAATATTTCGTGGATTAGACCACTCACCTGCATCACAGCGCGTGGGATCGAAACATGGCATACCGCATAATCTCATCTTACAACAATGTAGGGATCTTTCGGTCTGATGAGTTTCTCACAAACGGGCTATGGTGCACAAGCTCCACGTGAAGGAGATGAAGACCAGAGAGCGCATACCATCTACCCAGAGCATGGTAAAGCCTGGCCGGGGATGTCTAACATCACGTCTTATGATCTGTAAACCCGAGAAAAATATGTCCCAGTAGCCGTGAGGCCAACGAGTATAGCCCGCAGTCCTTTGCCAGTCAGTCCAGCCTCCTACCCAGAGCTTGCCGGCTCACGAGAGAGGTTATGAGTGGGAAATCGTGAACCGTGTGTGGTCATAGGCGCCAGAAATGACCTGTTTCGCATTACTGATGCGGCAGAGTATCCAGACCATGATGTACCGCGAAGGTAGGCATGTGAGAAAGGATGATCCTTCGTTCCAAGACATTATGGCTCTTCGAGAGCCAAATGTGGGATAATCACTTATAGATACGGAGGATCTGCAACGGTGTGGTTTTACACTTTGCCGCCTCAGTTTAAACGATGCAACTTCTGTTACTCTCATGTGGTAAGCAACGAGGGTCGAGAGGGTGTGTGTATAGAGCGGAGCTTAGATCATAACATCAGGTTATGAGAACTCAGCTAATGAAAGAAAGTTGATGATATCATGGTCTCACTCATTTCACTCCCCAAGCGTAATGAAGAAGAACGACCGAAGCTATGGAGATCCATAATATGGGAACAAGAGGCAGTGATTGTGGAAATACACAGTTGTCCGCTTCGATACATCAAAGACTGTACAGGAGTGTCTTGAGTATTGTATTTACCCAATATTCCCGTATTCGAATGTCCGCGGCAGGGCTTCTCAACATTCACATGCCTAAGCTGCAAGAAGAGACGCTCTTGGTACAGCGCGCCAAACGTGGACTGTCGTGGTAGTCGGTCAGGAGACCTGTATAAAAGAAATTGGGTCAGAAAAGACGAGAAACAATGAGAAAAAAAAAAAGCTTGAAACAGATGTTCCGTTCGGTAGCTTCAGTGAGCAGGAGTTATTTTGGGCTGTCAGTGGCTCGGAACGCGTTCCGGCGAAACTTGTGACCCCGAAGTTGTTGGCAATGGCTTCGGTAGCAGTGGAGAGTGGGTCCCAAAAGTCGCTGATCATTTGCTCCAGACCCGACCGGAGCGGGAAGGCCTTCGGAGTGGGGCTCATTGACAACCTCTCTCTTCGTTGGGGGGAGCCTCGACCTGGACCTCGACAACAACCTTACTTTTGTTTGGCCGACCCTGCTTACATAGGTACTTCACGGATGCTCGTCTTGCCCCCGCTGTTAGTATGGCGAAATAACGATGGCAAGAAAACAAATTGTGTGGGAACGTTTCAGGTTGTTCAAGATTCCGGACGAGCAGACGCGAACCACGGATCTTGACCACCACATCATGAAGCGCGCTGCCCGGTTGAAGCATCACCCCTCGCGTTAAGAGCGGGGCCCCAAGTTTCATATCGAGTTGCAGAAGAATGTGGCTGTCGGTTTGGGCGTCTGGTAACTTTGTTGTAGACTTTGAGGGGGGATTGATGTCGTCACCCGGGTAATCGAGCACCCAAGCGCCGCGCTGTCAGCATCTGAAGATGTTAAGTATAGGGAAAAGAATAGAGGTAAGCATCGGTCTGTCCTCTCGTTGCTGCCTCGAGATAAACCTTCTGAGACGGCTCGTGGATGGGCAACATGGAAACTTAGGTATGCCCTCGACCCCTTTTTCTTCGCAGGATGTTTTGGGGCTGGTTGGCAAGGGTGCAGAGTGTAATTGCTCCTGGTGGGATTTCGAACCGTGCTGGGCGGGCCAGTCTATCCAGGTCCCAAAAATTCCACCCTAAGCATTTAGTTCAGCATGTATCCCAAGACATCAGTACTTAGCATTGCATACAGCTTTCCGTACTCTCCACCAGGAAAATCGACAACCTTTTTATCTCTTCAACTCAGATATTGCTGGGAAATTTCTTTTCGCAACTCAGCTGGCCCAAAAGGGGGCTTTTTGGGTGAAATGCTGCATCCTGAGTTGCAGAGCACGTTTGGCTGAGGGACATGTCTCGAGGAGAAAAGAGGTCTGTGCACTTCCTCAAAAGGGTAAGTTTTTGGGACCTGGATAGACTCGCCGGCTGGGCTTCGGGCGACCCGTGGTGTCAGTAATGACCGCTTAGAGGTCCCTCTACACCCGCCTCTTAACTGTGTGACCCCACACCCGACTTTCGGTGCTGCCGTCTTTGGCACTTCAGTGCCCTTTCCCATCCATCCCTCATCCCGCCTTCATACACCTACATATACCACCAGCTGCGCTTTGGTTGCAGATCCCTGCCTGGCCACCGAATCCATACCTATAGGTAGTGCAGCCCTCTGCAAGAATCCCGCCTTCCCCTCGCCTTTTCGATCTCGGTCTCGACCGAACAAGTTCCTGGGCTGTTGTCAGAAAACAACTGCCATTTTCACACTCGCTCCGCTATTCCTTTAGGTGACCATTCGTCAAACTGCACAGGTCCTTTCGTTCGCTTTTGGAGATCACAATCCTTCTTGGCTACGAAGACATCAGGGTAACGCACGATATCGAATGGACAAACACTCGATACGATACCCCGAGCACATCAACTAGCTTATCAGACCATGGACTATACAAACCCAACATACTTCGCCGGCGCCGCCGCCCAGCCGCCGTACCACTTTATCGGTATTGCTCCCCTCACCCCCTCGCATTCAAACTCGGCCTCTTCGGACGACTTCAACGCCTCTCCACAGGTGAGTTCCATGCTTTGATTCAGATGGAACTGGAAGAAAGAAGCGGATGAAAGAGCAGACTCGGGGGATTGCTGATTGTCGCTTGTTACCTATGGACCCGAATGGCATTTGCTCTGTCGCTCCTACGTTTCTCCGCATGCCATTCATGTTCCTCCTCTGCACCTCCCGGCCCGTTAGCGCACCATCTTCCGGGGCAATCGAATAGCTTACACATTCCTCATTCAGGAAATCTTCGACCAATTTCCGAACGGGCTCCCACATGACCAGTTCCAGAATTTCGAGGCGTTTGCCCAGTTCAACAACCAATCAACGACCTTTGCCGGGCCCCCGACTCCTCCGACCCAGCAACTTCTTCCGACCACGCAGCCTACGAACGGCACCATACACCTTCAGCATCAACAGCAGTCCGCAGCCGACCTCCTACGATCCCTCAACAATGCCAAAGGAGACCCCGCCGACGAAGCCCGAGCCCGCAGACAGGGCTCAAACTCGGATGAAGACGAAAACTTGACACCCGCTCAGTCGAGGCGGAAAGCCCAGAATCGCGCCGCGTACGTTACACACCGCCTCTCTGACTATCTTCTGCCCTGTCCCGTCAGACAAGCAGAGGAACCCTTGAATCACGCCGTCACACGTCTCACATATACCCTCTTGTGCCACGTTGCCTCTCTCTTTCACCTTCGCTCCCATACCTTGGACCCTACAGATCATGTCAAGAAGAGCGTTCGAAACCACAGTATCTTAGCTAACTCTTTCTTTTTATCATCTCTAGTCAACGAGCCTTCCGCGAACGCAAAGAACGCCACGTCAAAGAACTCGAGAACCGTCTCCAACAGCTGGAGGAAGAAGCCCAGGTGACAAGGTCAGAGAACGAAAAGCTGAAGCAGGACCTCCAAAAAATCAGCACCGAGAATGAGATATTGCGGGCGACATCTTTAGCGGCTGTCGGTGCTGCCGCCGCTGGGTCGCCACTAGGGAGCGCCGGGACGCCGATGACGACGGGCCCCATGTCGTACAAGCCGACCGATTTTTACACTAATCTGCTGGAGAACCATAACGAGAAGACGCCGAGCCACCGGGTGGTCAAGAGCGAAAGCGGGGAGCGCTTGTTGGCAGCCGGTGCGGCTTGGGACCTGATGCAGAACCACGAACTTTTCCAGCGCGGGTTGGTCAATATTCAGGCTGTCAGTGAGCTTCTGAAGGGCCAGGCGAAGTGTGATGGCCAGGGTCCGGTGTTCGAGGAGAGGGCCATTTTGGAGGCGATCGAACAGAGTGTGGCAAGTGGGAGCGACGAGTTGCTATGAGGCGGCGGCTCCCGAACTGCGGTCGAGAAGTACGGGGATAGGCGCGACCTAGACGGAGATACCCCGGCAGAAGCACCGTATAGAACGACGGAAACACCGGGCATATATCACGCAAAGGAGAAGCGAGACACGAGTAACCAAATGATGGCAGGGGCGAAGAGGATGCATATCAAGTCACATACAAGCATATTGAGGGCTGGGTGGAATATTGGATGAATGGGTATTGAATTTCCAACCACGAAGCCCATATCTTCGTCGGTTTGACAGGTGTTCGAAGGGGTGGTGGTAAATTGGGGGCAATCACGGGAACCTCATTTGCATTTGTCTTGGAGAAGCGGAGTTGGTTTGTCTTTTGGAATTTGTATTTGACGATGTCTTTGACCTAGGTGATGAAGAACAAACACCACAAGATGGAAACGCCAAGGCTACACAGCCTGTCTATATCATCTGTTTGTGGCTTAGATACCCTTCTCTTTCTATCTGCCGTGAATGTCTAGAAGATCTTGAGCCTCCCAGATCCTAATATTCCAAATCATGACCAGACTTCATAGGCCTTGCTGCCCCATGCTATCTCTACGCATACGCTGTGTGTAGTTGATATCAACTAGAAACATGCCTCTGAGGAACGCCGCGCTAAACAACGCTAGAAATACACGACGTGGTTTCTATCGTTTGCGTACGTAAGTGTTCACCCATTTTCCCCTCGCCTGGTTTTTGTTCTCTTGAGCCAAGCGGCGAATCCCTCTCTTTTTCTACCGTCCCTCCACCACCTCGGCCAAAACCACCCTTTTCCCGAAAGTGAAAAAAATAAGAAATAGAAAGATAGGAAAGCAGATAATCATCATCATGTATCGTATATACCCGTGTCTTCGTCATAGGTAGGTGTACCAAGAACGAGGGCAGTCACTTCCATCATGTTCCCTCGAGTTCGGAATGTCATGATAGGGACTTGCTTCGTATAAATCGGTGCTCCGATCAGTGGGTTGGCACAAAAGTTGTCCTTCATACCCTGGTTATGTCCTTCTTTTCCATCCATCTTCTCCCGCGCGCCCTCGCTCATTGCGAGTTGGCTATGTCCTTATCACTTCGGGACCCCGCACTGCCTGCCGTCCATTAATTGTCCCCCTCTTAACTTTGTCCGCTTCCATTCTTCATCCTGTCACCTCTAATCACAGTAAGAAGAGACCGGCACAGTTATTAGCCCCTCTTCTCCTTGAGCTCGTCTTTGCTTCCCACAACCTGCTTAGACACCTTGGGATCATCTTGACCCTCCACATAGGGGTATTTGATCGTCAAGCACCAAATGTCCAAGTAATCGCAGATGGTAACAATGACGTCCACCACAAAGCTGCCGTACACGCCGACCGCCATCCCAAGCATGCAGAACATGTAGGCAACCTGGTAGACGCCGTCGCCAAGAGCTGAGGGCCACCCGAGGTTCTTGAGGCCGTCGGGTGCATACCTGTGGATGACGGGGCCGAGGGAGTCAAAGACGCCCAGGCCGAGAGGGATCACCATGACGTTCCAGTAGGGGAAGTCGAGCTTGACGAGATGGGCTGTAATCATCTTCCCGACGCTATAGGCGTTGACGATGCCCGCGAAGAGCACGAAGGGCACCAGGTGGCCATGCAGAATGTTGGGCTGCAGGAACAAATAGGCGACCACGAGCGCCCAGGTGGCAAAGAAGGGGAGGAGACCGACGAGGGCGTAGCGCGAGCGGTCGCCGCGGGCGCGGCGGGCGCGTATCACGTTGCGAGCAGATTCGACCGTGTTGTAGACGAGCACTACGGTGCCCTGGACCATGTACCATTCGGTAAAGGAGAAATTGTAAAGAAAGCTGGGCAGAGTCAAGGCGGTGGTGCCGAAAGTGAGGGTCTGGGGAACGCCAAGGGTGGGGAGCATGCCCTGTTGCCAGAAAGAGGCGCCGCTGAGGTAACCGGTCAGGGTGTAAACGCCCACGAGGATCAAGATACCCTCAACGGGTCCGTTGACGATGCCGAGGGTGAGCGTCTTGGTGTGGTACTCATCCCAGGTTTGGACGTAGAAAGTGAGAAGGGAGGCAAAGACGGTCGCGACGGTGTACCAACTTTGGCCCATGTTCTGAGAGGCGGCGAAGATAAGGCATTCGAGCGAGGTGTTGAGGGCGTCGACGCCATGATCGAAGAGCTCGCCAAGAGGTCCGGACTGACGAGTACGACGACTGTGTTGAGGTTCATCGTCAGTCTACCTTGTTTCCGTAAGTTTGACACATGACGGCACAGAAATGACTTACGCTTGGGTGCCATCAACCGCATCAAAAGTCTGGTAGAGGAACAGACCGGCGGCCCAACTGTAGTAGACCCAAGGTGGGCAATCCTGGTCGAGGGTAGGGTTGTACCATAGCAGAGTGAGGAAGTTGGCGACAACGAACATGAAACCCGTGAGCGTGATCAGGTTGGGAGCCATGCTCATGGGGAAGAGCTTGATGACAACATTGGTGTAAAATGGCTTGAGGATGTATTTGGACGTCAAAGAGTGGTCGACGGCCGAGTACTTGTATTCCCGCAAGTTGGGTAGCTTCTCCTGTCGCACGTAAACCATGTCGACTTTGAATCGAGGAGTTTGTATTCGTGGCGTCTAGCGATTCAGTATCTCGTGAGGCTTGAAGGGGTGATTCTTTGTATTCGTGTGAACACCAGAACTCCGGATGACTGATAACGGTTATACGTCCGGTATCGCTCTGTGGTGTTGCTAAGCAACCCAAGTTTGCAGCCTTGGAAGGTCAAGACAGGAGCCAATGCCTCGTTCGGCTTTCGTTGAGAACAGTCTGCTCAGAGGTGCTTTCGCTGTACAAGGCGCAAGTTATCAGAGACGGACGACTGAGGGAAATATAGGGAGGGGACAATGAGCCGAAAGTAAATAAAAGAAGAAAGTCGAAGCCCGAGAAGGAGAAAATAAAGTGGATCTTCTATCAAAAAAATGGGGATCCGGCATGTATGTAGAGTGGAACACCTTCTGCGCGCGTGAGTTGTCTTTCCCCTCACGGTCCCCTTCAGCATTCAGCTTCACTCATTTGTTTCGGCAGGCTCAAAGCTGGGCAAATTGGCCCGGTATGACATATCCCTCTGAACGGGACACTTGCTTGTTTTAAAGATGCTGTGCAATGTTATTCTTGCTGGTTATGACGCGCCGCATTTCCCACTATGTTGACAGCGAGGTCAACGTCGCACCTTTCTTTTCCACTCGTGTGACTTTATGCTTGCATGAATTCCGACTCCGACGTTGCGGCTCAGGTCCCAGCCACTTGCCCTAGATATACTACGAGGCGCATAAGTGTGCGGGCCTGATCCCTTTCTGAAGAATCAGTACGTACACAGTTTATGGTTGACAAGCTGATCTTTTAGTGTTCCTTGCCTAACTGCTTATGTTTGAACTCAGGTAGATCATCTTCAGCAGATCGCTAGTTCATCAGACTACCAGTGTGAAGAGAGTACAAGATCGAAAAGATTCGAGACCCCGAGGTCGACCCTGGCAGGACGAACAGTATAATCAGATATCTCGCGGTTTTGTTCATATTGTGAGCAGCCAACACAACACTTACAGAACTCTCATGCTATCCAGAAGAAAGAAAGTAATTCTGTCTTTCTCTACCAGATAGTATGACGCGACTAATAATAGAGTACTAAGTTTGGGGTAAAACGCCATGCGGACAACAAGCTAACACCAAACAACCAACATCCCTCAAGTTACCAAAGCCAAGGTCATAGTTGATACCTCGCCCGTTTCATTAAGCTCTTTAAGCAACAGACGCCACGATCAAAGCAGCCACACCTTCCTCCTCACTCCTGACAGTGATCTTGGTAGTAACACCCGACTTGGCCGAGAAAGCCATACGGACGTTGGCAACCACTCTGCCGCCGTTGACAGTCTTTCCGAGGAGCTTGAGCGTATGTGTGGTCTGGTTAAGGGGTACATCTGTTCCCTCAAGGGGTTGTAGCGACAAAGTCTTTGCTAGTTGTTCGGTTGCGTCTGTAGAATGTTAATAAATGGGTTTGGCAGAAACCAAAGACCAGAGAATTTTACGTACCTGATATGCTCTTCATGCTGCTGAGTAGCAATGTCTCCTCCGCCTCTTCCCCAGAAGCGCCAACCTGCTCCCAGATGTGCGCAAAGTTGCTGGCAAATACGGGAATAACATAGTCGCTTCCTGCCAGGTCAAACTCGGCAACCTCGTACTCGTCATCGTAGCCGGTTTCTTCAGGCTCACCGGTGCTGGGATCAATCTCCTTGCTGGTGAACTTGAGGACGTTGGAGAAGGTGCTAACTGGTAGCGAACCCTCACCGCTGACCTTTCTGAATGCCACATATACCTTTCCAGGAACGTCGGTCTCGAGCTTCTCAGCCTGAATAATGAATAACTCCTCAAGCTCTTCTTCCGCGGGCGTAGCTACGACAGAGACGTTCTCTAATACGGTGTCGGGAAGCGTGTTCTTGACCTCGTACTGGAGCACGATATGCTCCTTGAAAATATGCTTGACAACTCCAACGACGTATTCGGTCTCCGCCTCGGTCAACTCCACCACCGGCGACGACTTGAGAGCGGCGCCAAATTCTGCCATCTCGGGAATCTGCATCAACTCCTGCGCATACTTTTGCGCAGCCGCCGAGGCAGATGCAGCTGCCTCGGCGCTGGTGGGAGCCGCCTTGGTTGGTCCGACCTTGGGTGGCTTGAGTGAAGGTGTCGTAGCAGTAAGCTTCTTGGTCCTATCCTCGGCATCTGCTTGTTCGCGGGTAACAACAGGGATCTTGGAGATGTCGAAAGGCGCCTCGAATGTCGACCTGTCATCAGAAGTAACATACGTGACGAGCTGATGCTCGAAAAAGGACAACGAGAACATGCTGTCTGTTGACATGTCAGTATGTGATCGCATCCGGCAAACGCAACATAAAGTAGACGAGAACTTACCATTCTTGACAAACCTGTTCGCAAGCTCATCCTCTTCCTTCATAAGCTTGAGGTTAAGAGCAGCACGATCGCGAACCTCGTCATCAACATCATCCAGACACCTGGTGAGGAGAACCTCTACGCTGCGCTTGACTTCAGGATCTTTCTGGCCGACACCAAATTTGGCAAGGGCAGTAACCGCTGCGGCGCGCACAATGGAGTTCTCGAGGACCACCCGGTTGTAGATGTATCGGATGTACTTGGTAGGCTGGGATGTCTTGGGTCCCTCAAGACCGAGGAGGTGAAGGACACGGACTGCCAACTTGGTGAACTCGCAGTCCTCAATAAATTCGCACAGGTGAGCGAGGGCCTCCTCCTTAGATTCGGGGACGAACTTGATAAGATCGAACATGCTCTCCACCACGGCGCGCTTAAACTCATAACCACCCTCATCGCGCAAAATACCACTGAGGAACTGGAGCATGCCGGCCTGCTTGCTGGGAAACTTGAGGCATAGAGTACGGATGGCTTCGACAATCGTAATCTTGAACTCGTCGGTGATTTCAGACATGAAGCCAGAAATTTGCTTCATCAGGCGATCCACGCTGGCCTCGTTTCCGGTCTTGAGTAGGGTGGTAATGGCAAAAGTAGCGATGGAGCGGTTGCTGTTGGAGATGAGGAGCTCAATGTCCGGGTTGCATACAGCAACGGCCGCCGGCTTGAACGAAGCGAAGTTGTGGAGAATGCGAAGAGCGGCGAACTTGGTGACAGCGCGGGGCGAGGTAAGGAAAAGTTGGAGGACATGAACTGCCTGGGTGACCTCAGCGTCGGTGACATCCCGCATATCGCAAATCGCCTTTGCGGCCTCGAAGTTGACCATTTCGCTCTTGTGCCTGAGCCAGCCATCCAGCAGCTGCATCATGGGCTTCCTAAGGTGGGGGTCTTCGTCGGCCAGCTGGGCGGCAAGACGGACGAGCAACATGAGAGCAGCGGGGTTCTTGACGGCACCGGGAGCACCGAACTGCTGGACCATCTTCACCAACGCCATCCTGTCGTGCATGCGCATTTGGTAAAGCAAGCCAATGGCATGGTATTGGGTCATGGTCGAGCTGTTGATGGGCAGATCTCTGTTGGAAGATCCGAAACCGAGGGAGAAACCGCCGGTCGACTTGGTGTTAGCTGCCGCTTCCGAGGTCTCATTCTGCCACCGTTTGACGACGTCCTTGGCGACGGGGAGAAGGTGATATGATGATACGAGGGCGGCAGAGGATACTGAGGGGTTTCTGTCGACAATGGCCGTCTTCATGACACGCTCGATGGACTGTACTGTGGTGGCCTGCACAAGGTCGGGGTTAGCTCCACATCGGGATAACCATTAAGGGGTCGAGGAAGGGGGCGGCTTACATCGATGATGCGGCAAAGGGCGCGGATGGCATTCGGGCGGTAGATGGCATCGGTACTACCGCCAGTATCCTTCATAATGGTGCTGGTAACCATAATGATATCCTCGGCCGAGTTGGCCAGCTCCTTGATGACAAGGTGGACCATCTGTCGTAGGCTGGCATCTTTGTTCTGGAAGAGCTTCGAAATACCGAAAAACAGCGTCGTGGCTTCATTTGTCGGGAATCTTTCGCCGGTGTAGAGGAGGAGAGCAATCTTGGTGAGGAGGATACGACATTTGCGCGGCTGAATGGGGGAGTTGTTGAAGAGGCGGGCTGTATGTCGAACCGGTCAGTCTTGAGGAGGTTAGGAGTATAAGGGCCACGTCCACCCGACGAACAATGCCTCAGCTGCCAAGGTACTCGGACTCACCCTCCTGGAAGACCTGGGTCCGGTCGACCTTGACCAGACCCGTCTCAGCATCCTCGTCCTTTTTGCCGTAATTCATGGCGGGCAGGGCGACGATGGGTGCTGGAGGTGTGATGTGGATTTGGGAAACCCAAGTTGTTGTTGTTGAGGTAAGTAAGTCGAGGCTAGAACAATAGAGGTACGGAATAACGGAGTAGCGTGTTGCCTGTGCGACGGTGCGGCCAGCAAGCGGGTAGTATCCCCAAACCCGCGACGTTGCCAATTCCACTGCACAGTCGAGGGGGAGTCCACTGAGGTGTCAGGGAGTCCGTGCTCCCGGGCCACGCTGCCAGTCTCGCCAGTTTAGAGGCTGAAAGCCTCCCGGCAGGAGCAAGCTTCTCCATGTGCATCGCCAACCTTGTCCTCAAGGGGCGGGTGTTACAGCGCACAGACCACTTTTCCAATATGTACCTACATAGCTACCTCTACATAGATGTTTCCCTCCCGCCTCCTGAGTAGATCATCGAGTTCAATTATTTCTAACATAATCACACGGGATGTTGTTCCTGGAAAACAAACTTGACATTGTTCAACCTGCCAGGGCACCTCACTTGTGCTTCTGAAGGAAAAACAGAACCGAGATTGCCAGTACATAGTAATCACCATGATAACAGCAGTGCTAACACCAGTACGCTGTTTCGTGATTTCTATTGATACTTTACTTGGACCTGTTCAGTGCTAAACTTTACATCCCACACTCGGTCTAGGTGGCCGCCTTCCTTTTCGGCTTGAACGACAGCTTGATACTGACTACCTTACTCAGATTGCATTATCGTGAGCCCTTCTTGCTGTCAATTGGTTCTCCTCAACGGTAGTCCCAGCCTGCACTTAAGGATACAGTTGGTCCGAGCATCCATTGTACCCATCTCTTCCTTTTCGTATTCCTCAAAAAGGACATATAGCCTTGCCTTGGCTCATAAAAGCATGATTTGTTTTCTAGTATGGCTGCTTGCTCTCTTTGGGGCGTACTCGTAGGCACGGCTTCTTATATCACTCTCTGCTACGGCCCTCACCTGCGTAGCATCAGCGATCAGATACACAAATGGACCCTATGATGTGGAAGCAGCTTCTATCGCTTCTGCATCGACAGGCACCTCAGCTGAGACCACTGCCGAGGCCTCGGGTTGCGCCTCAGTCTGTACCTCCGCCTGTGTTTCGAGTTGCATGTCCGGTTGTTCCTCGCCCTGTACCTGCGCTTGGTCCTCCGCTTCGGCGGCGCTTGCTTGCTCCTGCATCGGCTCTTGCGCTTGATAATCAGTATTGATGGGAAACCCGTTCCGGACGTCGTCTTCCTTGCGATCGGGATTTTTGCCGCATGCCTTCACAGCTTCTTTCTCTTTCTTACCCAGCACAACGAGATCAAAGGACGGAGGCAAAATAGCATCAGCCCTGTACCAGACGTGTCAGTAGCGGCCAGATAAGGTTTAGTAAGCAAGGTGTCAAGTCACTCACTTTAAGAAGTCCTGCTTTAGCAAGCGAGCTTTGTCTCGCAAAGCCTGCTGGTCACGAGGGCGCTCAAAAGGGATGTTCCCATTCTTTATTTCCTTCTCGATGACGCTCCATTTGCACTTGTACGTGTCCACTGCCTTGATCAACATCCTGATGTCATCGCGAAGCCAGGGCGACCGACTCTGTGGTCCTCTGGCTTTCCGGTTAGCTGCCGATAGCTCCCTCGAGCGTTGCGACACGACGTCGAGGTCAGGCTCGGCCTGCGTGCCTGAGGACGGTGAATACCTAGCCACAGCAGCGACAGCGGCAGCAGCAGTAGCGGCAGATGAAGACGGCGTCCCAACATCCCCCATTGCACCCTCTGCGGCAGGAGTGGGGACAGCAGGCCTCGGGCGACGGGTCCTTGGCTTTTTGGCTGGCGGTTTGCTCGCATCTGATCCATCGACTACACTATCATTACCGCTCGGCGAAGCTCTCTTAGGTCGGCCTAGCTGGGCGGCGGACTGTGCGTAAAGAGTGCCGTTTTGAAAAGCACTCGGATTACTAGGGTACACCAAAGGCGGCGATTGTTGAGCGTCGAAGCTAGGGGGGTATGGGGCGCGCCCAATGGGGGGGTAACTGCTCAATGGGAGTTCATGGGGTCTTCCGAAGATATCCTGGGTTGTCGAGAAACCTCCATCTTGTGCTTGTGAAGCTTCGCTATCAGATTCCAGAGGTATCTTCTGAAGGGAAGCCAAATAATTCAATTGTCTTTGCCTGCAACAGATATCATATTAGCATAGAGGCCCAGTAGCCTAGGAGGTTGTATACATACCCAGTAACTGCCAGTGACTCACTCTCCAACTGAGACTGGATTTGTGTTTCCTCTGCCGAGGAATCCGGCGCGCCATACTGTGTAGCTAGGTAAGACGGCCCCGGTGGCACAGGCTGTAGTTGTCGTTTGGTTTCCTGGAAACAGGTCTCCAGGCTATCCCTAATAGTCCGTAGAGACGTGTGAGGGTCATACAATTTCTTGATATGCTCCAAGCAAGCATGAAGAGCGGCGTCGTCGATGGATTCGTTGGGCAGGCATCCGCAGATGGACTGCAGCCGTGTAATATACCCTTCCTTGTGCCAAGGGTCGCCGTTGGGGTCAATGCCCGGAACCAACCTCAGCGGCAAAGCATCCTTGTTGCCTTGTTTGAAGTCCTCCACTGCTTCCACACTTGGGACCCCTTGACAGAACGTATCCGCCAATATCTCCGATCGGCTTACGGGAAGCTGGTTCTGCGCCTCGAAATTCTGGAGGGTGAGCATGAACAAAAGCGTCCGGATTTCCACAACTAGGGTCATGATGTCTTCTGGCTTAAGGACCGCCGAATTCTCGACTCCATCCACTACCAGAGACTGGGCGATTATGTCATCGCAAACCTGCAAGTCGGCCAAGTCGTCTTCGGCTTTACCCTGCTGAATCACATCAATTCGATCGAACATTGTCGCAAGGTTGGCGAGCGTCACAGTCTTGCAGGCGTCAGAGCCGGCCGGCGAGTTAGGGTCGACTTCCATGGCCGAAAGAACGTGCTTGAGGTTGATGCTGGGTTCGCTGTTGTTGGAGATATAACGTAAGCGGTACATTTCGAACTCTTCTTCCAAAGCTGCCTGCTCATCAGGGTCCCTCTGTTGAGGATGTATTGTGGCTAGGAGAGTGAACAGTTTGTCCGCTGAAGCGAAGAGATGTGGCAACATGCGGCTCATCAAAAGTCTCTCCTTTCCCCTCCTTGCCGGAGTTCTGCCCAGCTCGGAAACTGTGTCAATGGATACCCCACGAGCCGGGGCACCAGTGAAAGATGTTGATGTACCCCTACGAAAAGCAAAACCTGTTGCAGACAATTAATATGACGATTCGAGGTAAATTGGCCATGTACTCTTACTTGGGGTTTCTGGCTGAGAGGAGATGGCGTCCGTGCCAGAGACACGGGTGAGAACGCTATTAACGCTCACCATGCTCTCAGCACGAGCATCACGGCGCGTGCTTCGACGAGCAACTTCAACGAAGGCCTGCTCAGAATCCTTGCTTTGGCCTTTCGGGGCTGGGACGGGAGGAGGAGGCATCCCTGATTCCTGAGCACCAGTGATAGCTGGGTCAATCTGAGCATCATGAACCTGCTGTTGCTGTTGCTGGAGCTGGTGCTGCTCTGCCTGCTCCCCTTGAGTAGGTGGCGGAGATTGCTGCTGGAGACGCATGGTACGCCGGACAGCAACCGTCGTTCCCTCGGCCGGTTGTTGTTGCCGCGTGCCAGGACGACCTCTCCCGCGTCCCGTCATTGTTCCCCTCACTGATTCACTGACCAGCACGTTCCGTGAGCTCAGCTGTCGAGAAAGATGGATGGAAATGCGCGTGCTTGTCGTCGACGACAGCGAAGAAGGGTTGGGGTTAGGGTTCAGTCCGCGTCGACGAAGTTGGTTTTGAGATTTTTTTGCTGTGAGGATTTCGGGGTTGGAGGAGGAAGGCCCAATTCGATTTCTTTTGCCAAGGACAGGAAGCCAAGCAATACCTGCCCCACTACCACACTGGCCGTGGTCTTTCACGTGACCGCCCAGCACCGTCGTCATCCCTCCAGGGCCCGGGTACTCGGGCGACGTGAACCGCGCCTTGCAGCGGGCAATCACAACCTCATGCCGTAACCTCTATTCTACTTGCCTGTAGACAAAGACCGCCCAACAATCAACAAGACGTGCCCGGTGAGCTTTTCCCCAATTCAGCCGACATAAGTCATAGCGTCGACTTAGGATTGGGGTCAGAGGCTACTGTAAGTACTCTAACGCCAGGCCATGGCTCCACTGCACGGCATTTCTGTTAGTACCTATCCGGACATTCAGAGCTCTGAACAGATCTCCACCGACCGGACCGGAAGTTATCAAGTCACATTACCTACCTTTCAGGTTCGTATGGAATTACCGCAATTTCAGGTTGTCTGAAGGAATCATGGACAGTAGTATTGGGAGTTCACAGAACAACATCGTAGCATTTACTCCCAATCAAGAGAGACTGAAAGGTTGTTAATTGGTATGAGGTGTATCCAGACTCGCGTAGACTGGGTCGCTGAAAAGACCCAACAAAGCAGAGCAAAGATGTACCGACTACTGATACCTTTGAGGACCGCGATCCCCCAAGTATCTTTATGCCCCAGCGACCAAATTTATTTATGGGCTGGAGACTTGGAGTAATGGTAATAATTTCCACCAGGCAAGGAAATATTTCATGTGATACTTACTATTTGCAACACGAGCATGCGTTCGTTGTCACCTCTACAGCGATCCTTAAGGGATTTTACCAAACCTACATTCAGTTAGCTTGCTAGTGATATGGCCTCATCAATATAGCCTCACCGAATAATGTAACCAAAATGGTGGACAGAGTCTCTACTGCCCTTGTATGGCTTTGAGGTCGCTTTGTCTTGTGGGTAGTTTTTACTAGTAATTGTCTTTTCTAAACTTCGGGTGTTCCAGGTTACATACCTAGTTTGGCAGTCTATCCCTGACCTTCCGATGCCTACCATGTACTAACGTAATGCCGTAGTCCAACAGGCATGATCCTGTTAGGCGTGGAATAGCTGAAATTGGTGCTACTGGTGTACATAAGTTGTTCGGCGCGGTCCCGCGGTTGTTGTTTGATGCATGGCAGTAGGGGGAATCCAAGCGCGTGGTGGCGGTGCGACGTGCACCCTTTCTCGTGCATCTACCCCAGCATTCCATCCACTTCAAGTTCCAAAAGCGAAGCTCCAACAGGCTGGAACCCCTGATTAGGTAAACACTCGATCTGTCGACAGGCCGCAGAACTTCTATCGCAACTTTTGCTTCTGGCCAGTTCTGCTCTGATTCCGTTTTTGGGAACCGACACTGGGCAGAATCACCATCTGCCCGCTATTCGATCGCTCTTTATTGTCCCTACGTCCCTAACTTCATGTGGTGAGACAACAGTTTTCTGCTTCTTTACCTTCTTTGGTCCGGCGCCAGCTCTTCTCGAAACCTTGACGATCACCACGTTTACGAAGAACACCGACCGCAATAGTACTGTCGATAAACATCCGCCTTCTGGCAACTCTTGCTCCGATTCCAACGAAAAGACACCGACCCAAAGTCGCCTTTACAATGAGATTGCGACAGCTTCTCATCCCCTCCCTTGCGGCCACTGCCGTCATCGCGCAGTCGACGACGGAGAGCAGCAAGCAACTCGAGAAGAATGCGGCTATCGATTCCCTAGTCGACGTCCCACCAGTCGCTAAGAAGTACGGCACTAAAGATGCGCCTGTCGATGGCAAGGATGGGAAGCCGCACGCGGGCCCCTTTGTCGACTTCGAGTCTTCTGCTCCCGAAACCACCAAGGACTTGCCTGTTTTGAAAGACCGCCCAGAAGATCCTACAATTGTGGGCGGAAAGAAGATACCCGATACTAACGATGGAGTCATGGACGACCCCAATCGACAGGGGCCCAAAGAAGGCACCACAGGTACAAGCGGCGGTGTAAGCGAGAAGACCAAGGAGAGGATCCTGAAGGAGAATGAGACTGGCGAGAAGGTCGAAAACAAGCCTCAGGCCCCTAAGGAAGCTCCTCCCCTGCCGCACGCAGAGCAGAAGAAGGTGGACAAAGAAACGCAAGACAAACATGGTGACAAGGCGGCAGACGATATCACGGGCTTCGAGGTGAGTTTAGCATGTCTACCAGGTCGCGACGGGGCCCAGCTAACCACCGGTTCAGAAGCCAGCAAATCTCCCTGACAAGACACACGACAAATCCCCCCCTCTGCCTGACTCGGCGGGAAGAATCGATCATCTAGACGTCCCCAGTGGAGAGAAGACGGGAGCCAGCCTCGGTGACTTGGGCAAGGGCACTGAAGGCGTCATCACACCTTTCCACTCTTTCTTCCTTTCGTTCACCATGATTCTTTTTTCCGAGATTGGCGACAAGACGTTCCTCGTCGCTGCCTTGATGGCTATGAAGCACGACCGCCTAGTTGTGTTTTCCGGCGCTTTTGCTGCCTTGATCACCATGACCATCCTCTCAGCCGTCTTGGGACACGCTGTGCCCACCCTTATTCCCAAGAAGATCACCAACTACCTGGCTGCTGCTTTGTTCCTTGTCTTTGGAGCTCGGTTGCTCCGTGAGGGTATGGCCATGAGTCCCGATGAAGGCGTTTCCGCCGAGATGCAGGAGGTTGAACAGGAGCTTGAGGAGAAGGAACACCTTGCCCGTAAGCAGGGCCGCAGGAGGTCGAGCGTCTCTCCCTACAGTCTGGAAATGGGTCTTGGTAACCGCAAGTCTCGCTCCAAGTCCCGATTCCCGACGCCGCCTCGAAGCCCCTCCAGCTCGCCCGATGCACGAAACGCTTCGCCGCGTGGAAGAAACCTTACGGAATGCCTCGCCGGTTTCAACAATCTTGTGTCTCTTCTGCTGAGCCCAGCCTGGGTCCAAACCTTCGTTATGACCTTTTTGGGCGAGTGGGGTGACCGCAGCCAAATTGCAACCATTGCCATGGCGGCTGGTCAGGACTATTGGTGGGTCACGCTCGGAGCTGTTGTCGGCCACGGTATCTGCACGAGTGTTGCCGTCATCGGTGGAAAGGCTATTGCAGGCAAGGTCAGCCTGAAAGTCAGTAAGTTGACAACCGCTTTCCCTTACAATGCACGCATGCTAACCGCTGCAATTTAGTCACCGTCGGTGGTGCTGTTGCCTTCCTCGTCTTCGGCGTCATTTACTTGGTTGAGGGCTTTTATTCGTAGACCAACATGGCTTATGACGTTCCCGCTTCAAATGCGTCACTTGTCTCTTTCAGCATCATCACATCAAACTTTCGCACCCGTTCCCTAGAGCTATTGTTTGTAATTGCTTCAGACGCCGCATTGGACATACACGGCAAGGTTTTCAGAGACTCTTCCCCTTTCTTTTTTCTCTTTCCCCTTCAGAAGGGTTTCATTTGCTCTGCAACGCAGAGTCATGCTGGGTCAACCGGATAAGGCCATATGAACAATAACCTACCCCTGTATGCCTTGCCCGAACGATGCGGTCGTGGCTGATTTTTTTCATTCTCCTTCCAACCTCATTTTCTTTAATCTTTTAACGTTCCCTTACGCGAAGTGCAGTATCTCAAAGGCATTGATGGGATGGATATTGGTATGGTGGATAATGATACAGGTTGGGGATACGAACTTCACATACGTACAGTATGGGCTATTGTGACGGTGGATACTATCCAAATTAAATTCAGTGTAAGAACAATTAGAAAACCGAAACGAATAATGACACCACTTTAGGGTGAGAAGGGAGGAAAGGGCCAACTTTCAATGTAATCTATTGGCGACAAGATCATTGTCTATCGCCCTCGTGGACGAAGCCTGTTCGCATGAGCGTGACAAGCGCAGCATGGCAGAGGGATGTACATATACTCAGCGGCAGGCAAGTTCACCAAAGCTAGGCCAAGTAATGATTGTCCCGAATGCTGGCGGTCACCGGCATCTATAAATGGTTTACGAACACCTTTAAAGTGATATACACTGATGTGGTTTGGCAGTGCGTCCGAGCCAGGATGGTACACAATCATGTCCACTTCGAGGAGCTTTGCGAGAACGAAGACTCAGGTGCAGGCGCATATTATCGGCGGAGGGAATGTCTTTGATGTCATAGGCAGGTTTTTCTGTTAGCTGGCTTGCTCTACGACAGGCTTAAAAGTTGATGTTCGTCGAAGTTGCACAATTGAGGTCACGGAGCAAGGGAGAAGTGCCTGAGTGCCAAGACTTTGCAAATGATGTTTGAACTGCTCGATGACGTAGTTGGGGCATCAGGCCGTTCGTTTGAATAGCATCTTTCATCTTGCTCGACAACAAATCAAGTCCTTCGAACCCCCGCACTCGAACTTCGCGAGAACCTAAGAAGTCCACCAACCTAAAGGTCACAATTAGTTCAATTTCGTGGTCTTTTTGATCTAACGGCTGCACCAGCGCTTCGACCGCAATACCTTCCACCTTCTCTGTCTATCAGCAAACGATTATCACCAGTCTCAATATTTCAGCCATCCATCTCTATTCGCGACACGATGTCAGGTATTGTCGAGTCAGTCCAGGCCAAGGCTCAGGAAGTCGCGTAAGGCCTTCGTATTTCAAAAGCACCTGGCCAGATACTTGATACTGACGCTTAGTGATGGGAACAGGAAAGAGGACTATGACCGCGCCAAAGCCCTGATCAATGATGCTGCAAAGAGCGGATCCTACTTGTATCCCATCAAGGTGTGTTCGCATACCTTCGCAGTGAAACCTCTCAGCCGGGATATAGTGTTGACGATGTTTTCCCCTTGTTATAGGGAATCTTCTACTTCCTGAGCCATCGCAGCCTTTGGAAGCCCCTCCTTAAGAAGCTGGCCCCTATTGTGACGCTTTCTGTCGGAGTGGTAACGGGCATGTTCTTCTTCACCTACGTGCCGCAACTCGCTCTTATGACTTTCGTCAACGGGCCGCTCGCAGTCCTCACCACAGCAGTGCTCGTTTTGAACGAGAGCTCTGCAGTCATTTCATTCCTCTCCAGGAACTTCGTCATGCAGGATGCCCTCTTGGACACCTTTGACGGCACCCTGATTTCCAGGGACGCTACCAATCTTGTCAGTGAAGGCAGAGAGCTGAAGTCGGGCAGGGATCCCATCCAGAGACTGGGAAAAGTTCTCAAGAATCCTTTCCAGCGTTTCAGCCCCAAGGCGTTGATTCGATATGTCATGTACTTGCCGCTTAACTTCATCCCAGGTACAAGAAGATTAGCCCCCCTCCCCCCACCATTGCATTACGTTTCTCAAAGTCGCATATGCTGAAACAAAAGTTGAATAGTTGTCGGCACGGTAGCATTCATCGTCTTGCAAGGTAAGTGCTCGTCCTCTGTTAACATGTGAAATGTGGCACTAAGTCCGATAGGACGCTCTCGCGGCAGCACGATTCACGACCGGGTAAGTCAATGGCACCTGCAATGCCAACCTGCTCAACTATCAAAAGATATCAATGTTGACCTTGGAGTCAGTACTTTCAACTCAAGCGATGGTCCCCAAACCAAAAGGCGGAGTGGCTTTCAAAGCATACAGGCCCATATTTAGCGTAAGTAATTTTGCGTGATGGAGTTTCCGCACGAAACATGTCCTACAATGTATCAAAAAGCTCCACTGGCTGGTCTTCCACAGAAGCAGTTGATGCCATCAGGGAGCAATGCTTTTCTCGACCGAATTCTCGCTGACAACGTATCGAATAGCTTCGGTGTTCTGGCAACGCTCCTTGACATGATTCCGGTTGCTTCCGTGTTCTTCTCATTCACAAACGCCGGTAAGTTTCACTAGAACACATTGGTTCTTTGCCTGATGAGAAAATACAAGCAACTAACCATTATCATAGTTGGTGCGGCGCTCTGGGCGGCCGATATTGAACATAAGGAGACCGAGATGACCGATGGCACTGCTCCTGGTCTTCGTGAAGCGGCGAAGAAAGCCGAGTGAGATGGTATCAGACCGAAATTGATTAATGCATCACACAGAGGCACATCCCTGAGTGGGAGGTATCTTTAACTTGACACAGCTGGTCAATTCGGAGGTGGTGTTGCATGTTGCATCTGCTTGGCCGAAGAGGTACGGCATTTTGACAGCGCAGGATGCTGTGCGACCAGTTCAAGCCCTCGCTCGAATCCGACTTGCAGACTTTTCCTGTAAGATTTTTGGTCAAAAACTTTTCATCCGCCTCTTTATTTCGGAGTACTGGATGGTTAGGACATCATTTCCACTCGGCAGTTGCCTCACCACCCTGAATACGAGAATAACCAAGTCTTAACTCCATGAGAATTCCAGTTTTCAGCGTGGCTTTCGAGTGAAAATCCCAAATCAAGCCTCAAGAGTGAAAACTGTCTCGAACTGGAGCAGAGTGTATTGCACGTGTTGTCTTTGAGATAATGAGTGTCTCAGGGTTCCTAAACTTGTGTCGCTCACACTTTCGAAGCTCATATACGGTTAATGATTAAACCGAAACATCTCAAGTGCTGCCACGGAAGCAGCTTGAGTGGGCTCGGCTGCAGTACTTGTCAGTTTGCTTCGCGGTCGAGGCGTCATTCTTGCTTCCCGTCATCTTTCCAACGGCCGGATACGCCATGCAGGTAGGCACTTTTATGGTGCACAAACCCGATCTCCCCGACCAAAGCGGCGGCCAGCTTGACAGCGCCTTCTTCTGTAAGGGCAGGCAAGAGAGTGACCCGACAGGACATCCGAGTCCTAAGACTTTGATGTTTTCTGTCACAAACAAACATCGGATCACGACATGGAAGTGAGCAGTCAAATGCTTGTGATAGCTTTCACTAACAAAATTTCCAACAGGTAGTCCTCTCAGCATCTACCTATCGATACATGTACATGCTATATCTCCCACGGCGCCACAAACCAAATGTGTGACGTTCCTTCAGAAACACCTAATCTACTTTTACTCCACCGGTTGCTTACATACTTCAAGTACCTTTGTCATTTTGGTTTGACATCCTTGACTTTATAACGGCGCCTTGCGTGTTGCTGAACATGCTCAGCTCTACGCCGCCCTTGGAGTTTAAGCAAATGCGGCACTATCTGATGGCTTTTCGACTGGAACTCGGCCGATACTTAGTCACCAACGGCTAGCTTCCTTTTGGACTCGAGTTTCGTTTGCTTCATTTCATTCTCTGTTTTGATCCGGAGACCTTTGTGCACGCTTGTAGAGGTCGTCCCGAGAAACCTCGAGTTGGCGGATAGCTATCCCGACATCCTGACTATCGTGCGACGACTGTGGCGTTGTGTACGACAGCGTTACCACAGGAGCGAGATGATAAAGGGAGGAGGGTGTACAGATTCAGTCAGAAGCAAAAAAAGAAAGTGTCTTGATGTCAAGATAAGTGAAGAAGAGTTGAAGAAGACCCAAGATCACTATGGCCGCATCTTGCTCTTGACATAACCTGTAGATAAGCGTTGGGCAACTGCTCTCTCTCACGCGCTCGCGCTCTGAAGGCAAGGTAACATTTGAGTTCCACTCAAATCACCTAGCTCTCCTTTGCAAATTTGCAGCTGGATCGTTGATCTGATGCCACAAATGCCCGGGAGATAGGCAGACAATTGAGTATACGTACGGTACTTACCTTAGGTAACATGAAGAAGCGACGGGAAAGCATCGGCGGACACAACACCATCGAACAACAAGCAAACAGGGGCAGTCACGTATCATTCTAGAGAAAAAAAGAAAAGGCTTGGAAGCTTTTCTCGGAGATGCCATATCATCTCAAGGTTCCGTGCATGGAAATCCCCAGCACATCAAGGCCGTTGTCAGTCAGACTAGAACTCAAGGACGGAGACTGGAGCATTTTCGTCATGGACACTCGGAAATTCCAAGTACAATCTCGGGGTGTTCCAGTTCCCCAACTGGAAGTCCTCTCGTGTTCCTCTCCGAATAGCAAGAGACTCAAAGCCTCCCGTCACACACAGTCGCATTGTGATGCTTGTCAAGCTGTCGGCACCCAGTTCCATTCTCCTCTTTGGAGCCAGCAACATGGGCAGGGGACCCCCCAAAAGGCACAACATCACTCTCCCTGGAGTGATTAAGGCTAGTAGACGATTTTGGATGACCTCAACTTGAACCCAATAGTAGTTCATCAACTGAGGTCTCGAAGATTAAGGGGTCAATGTCTCTCAGGTTTCAGCCCGGTTAAGCAGGTCTATCTTTTGTGAAGAGTAGTTCTAACATGTCATTGATAGAAAAGACCAGGTCAACCTGGCTGGAAAGAAGGTAAGAACAATTCGGACGAGGAAGGTGCTCTCGGTCAAGTTTGACCAGCCGTGCAGCGGGAGTGACGACCCCTTCGCTGACGACTATTCGAGTTGAACGCGGCGAAACATGAGGATACCGCAAACGACCCGACATTAGTACCGTAGTTATTGATTGGGACACGGAGAATTTTGCAACTGAAGCTGCTGCAGTGGTTCGGGAAACGGGTGCTCCTTCTATATCTGTCTAGGTCTCTCGGGCTCCGCGTGTGTGGAAGGGTCACCCGTTCGCCTACTTCCATCCTCTCATGCCATCCTTCCCCGATTCTTTTCTTTACTTTTGTCTCAATAACTCCTTCTTCCTCACTTCTTTCTCCTCTTCCTCCTATCTTTCCTCCTTTCACTATAGAGGAACATTAGGTATCCAGTCCTTCAACACAGGATCTCGCCAGGTTCCGTCTTCTCAGACGTTTTGCCATACGTTTTCATCAACATCGCCCGGCGAGATTGTCCATTCATTTTTGTAAAATTTCTAGCTTTAGGCTGCTCCCTCTTCAAGCCATCCTCTTCCCCAGTCCTTTCCATTCACCGTATCCTTAGCCAAGACTCTCAGGGAATCTTCTCTACATTTTGACATCACGCACCAAGTTCAGGACACTGCCTGGCTTTTAGTCGGTCACCATCGCCGTTGCATCATCCACCGGTCTAGCCGGAGGAAGCGAGAGTCGACCCCTAGATATGAAGGTCTCCAAAGCTGTTGCCGGCCTTGTATCCGCAACCGTCCTCTTCGGCTCCGCCCCTGCAGTGTCGGCCGATGAGACGGGATTCTTGGATCGTTCGCATCGGGCCCTTGGCAAAGGTCATGCCAACAAGGCCTCTGGTCCTGATTACGACCTTTATGGCGGTTACACCCCCGAGGAGAAAGTTTACAGTTATCCGCCTTATGGATACCACCCGCCTCCACCCCCACCATTTTCTTTGACAACGTCAGCATTTGATGAGCCAACTACTATAACCAGTCAAGGTAAGTCTTCAAGAAGGCCCAGGCAAAACCAGGAAAGAACACTAACAGTCGTCAGAATATGGATCTGAGACCTCGAGCTCGTCGTCCTCAACAGGCTCCGAGACTTCAGAGACAGATGCGTACGGGTCAAGTGTTACCACTCGTCCCTCAACGCCACGCCCTACTACGAGCTCATCGGGCTCAACGAGTTCCGTGAGCTCAGGCACTTCTCAGGCGAGCCTAGCAGCTTCCGAGAGTGGGCTGTCTTCCGCCATGCCTACTGCTACATCTTCTGGGTTCATAAACAGTTCCTCATCCACGTCTCCTGAGTCTTCGTCTTCAGGTTACAGCTCCTCTGCACTATCGTCGTCTGGCTCGACCACATCAATATCAGGTACTGTTTCTGCATCGCCTACAATGAATTCCACGACTACCACACTAGCATTCTCTTCAACATCTGGCGCCGGGACAACCTCTTCAGGTTATAGTAGCCAGTCTTCTAGTACCTTTAATACAACAGCTTTACTCGATACCACGTCAGCAATGTCGACTACATCACCCAATTCAGCCTCGGAAACGGTGAACCCTACGTCAGGAGGTACCACATCATCGCCCTCACCTATTCCAGTAATCTCCATTAGCATCAGTGTTGGCCCTGAGAGCTCCTCTTTCTCCAAGCCAAGCAATGAAACAGCAACAATACCGCCTAGCACAGAACCAAGTAGTTCTACATCACTGGCCGCATCGGAACCCTTCCCGTTCACCAACTCTTGGAGTCCAGGTACCAGCTTCGGCCCCAGTGGTGGATCTTTAATTGGAACTTATACTCCTACGCCTGCGGCAACGTCTTCCTCAGCATCTGGTGGTTCAGGTCTCCCGAACTCTTCATCGAGCTTGTCGGGGATATCAGCTCCTTTCCCAATTTCAGCTAGTAGCACAGCTACTGGCCCTTCTAGCAGTAGCACCTTGCCCTCGGGCTCTAGCTCTCCGCCATTCCTTACAGCAAATTCAAGTTCGAGCTTACCACTATCCGGAACGTTACCACCGCCCTCCGGCACAAGTGCTTCTGTGACAACATCGTTGAGTTCGTACTACCCAACCTCAAATTCCTCTAGCCTGCCCGCTGGTGTATCAACCGATGGAACTACACTACCGAGCACCGGTTCCAATCTCACGAGCGCACCTAGCACTGGCTTCACGCCCCCTGTGTCCGGGAGCATCTTACCATCAGGATCATCCTCGGCCCCTTTTCCTGTCACGAACTTGTCTGCACCTCTTACGGGTCCAACTGGGTCAAGCACAACGGGATCAGTCACTTCCCAAGAGTCATCTCTTTCAGTACCGATTCCGATATCCAACTCATCTGAGATTAACCCCAGTTCCACCGGAGCTGGTTTTGGTTCAGGCTCTTCGATGTTGCCTGCATCATCAACTATCCCGGTTTCTTCCACTTATAATCTTTCATCTAGTTCGACTGTCCCCATTGGAACAGGTACCACCCCGTTAGTACCAGGGTCTTCAGGAACTGGAGGCCCAATCGGCTCGGCGCTGCCAACCTCTACTCCTGGCTTCCCATCGGTTCCCTTCCCACTCACAAACAGTACAGTGCCGTCTACCGGAACAGGCACCCTGTCACCAGGAGCAGTTTCTTCCGGTTCCATATCGCCCGTGTCAAGCTCAATGCCCTTGGGCAATGTTACCACGTCAGCTTCATTGAGCTCAACCTCTGGATACGAATCCAGTCTCTCTCTGACAGTTACCACTCCTTATCCTGCCGGAAATTTATCATCGCCAGATTTCGGTACAGGAAGTGGGGTACCTACTATTCCCCTTTCTACACAAACCGGTGCGCCCAGCGTCCCATATACTTTGCCAAATAGCACAACCCTTGTGTCTGGGTCCGGCGCAAGTACGGCTCCTCTGGGAACCGGACCGTCCGTGATAAGTGGTGCAACAACCTCAGAAGCAGGCCCCACGGGTGGCTCTACAGCTCTTGGTACTGGCGCTTCTGCTGTACCTCTGAGCTCAATGACACCGGGTAACTCATCAGGGCCATATCCCTTCCCTAACTCTACCATGACACTTCCTGGTGCTACAGGACCTTCAGCAACCGGCGGTGCGTCATCTTCGAGCACTGACTTACCTACAAGTGCCTTCTCAAACAGCAATGCCCCTCTTGGTACTGGACCTTTGAGCGGCCTGCCATCTACCAGCAGTCCTGGAGCTTCAAATGTCCCATTCCCCTTAACTAACTCAACATCAGCCTTACCAGGCCCTACTGGTACAGGAACAAGCCCAATTAGTGAAGCACCAACCTCGGCAGCTTTGTCTGAAAGTTCAGTATCCAAGCCAAATCCTTATCCAAACACGACATTGCCTACTCCTACTAGTGGGACAGGTACTATTCCTCAGATACCTGGCACTGGATCAACTAGCTCTATTCAGACCGGAGGTCTCTCGTCTTCAGCACCGTTCCCTCTTCCAAACACGACAACGCCGTATCATGTTACTGGCAATGGGTCGCCTACATCAGTGACTAGCTCGGGAATTTCGAGTCCATTGTCAAGTGCATCATCCATCTCATCTGTTCCATTCCCCTTCCCCAATGGAACATTGTCCAGTTCTGGGACTGCCACCGGGACACAACCAGTTGGGACAGGCTCATCAAGCGTGCTGCCCAGTTTGGCTACCACCTCCACGCCCTACCCCTACCCAAATGGTACATCGCCAATTGGGACAGGTTCTTCCGGCCCAACAGTTGTATCGTCAGCTCTCAGCTTCTCGGCTCCGTACCCCCTTGGGAACTCGACTACGCCCGCATCTGGCTCTACCGGCAACTCACCGCTTACAACTACAGGTTACGGGACCTCGGAGACAGCTCCAGCAGCGACACCTTCATCGCCATATCCTGCTGGTAATTCGAGCGTTTCGGCAGGCTTTACTGAAACAGGGGGTGACAGTGCTTCCTTCCCTTCAAGTACCCCTCTCTATCCCACGTCACAGTTTCCCACGAAAGGACCTCCTTTCCCAGCGGCAAACTCAACCTCACATGTTGGGTTTTCAAATCCTTCCATCGTACCTAGCGGTTCTGTTCCCGGGTCTGGTACTACGGCGCTTCCAACCGGCCCTGGGGTCATTACGAGCAATGCTCCATACCCGCTGACAAACTGGACATCCTCCCCAGGACCAACGGGAACTTCTGTGCCGAGTAGCGGATTTGGTACTGGTCTTTCATCGAGCGTTGCCCCATACCCATTGTCCAATTCAACAACCGGGAGCAATCCTACAGCCGGTACTCCTACAATCCTGAGCTCTGGGACAGCAGCACCGAGTCAAGGAACCTCACAAAGCTTGACTTATGCTCCCTACCCGCTCACAAACGCAACCACCACAACCCCTTTGACGGGCTCTGGGGATTCAAGTCTGACAAATCCTGCCCTGACGTCCCCTACCAGCGAAGCTCCTTTCCCGCTATCAAACTCGACGGTGACACAAGGTCCAACTGGTAGCATTGGGGCGTCGATTAGTCCTGTCGGGTCTTCCCTCTCGGGAGGAATCTTTACAAGCCAACCTGATACTGGTATCTCTGCCCCATATCCCTTGACCAACAGTACTGTCCAACCAGCACCAACAGGAGCATCCCCAGGGGCTGGCTCGTTGACAGTTCCATTTTTCACAACGCCAATCGGGTCCTCCTTTGGCGCACCTGGTAGCACTGCGACGTTCCCTCTCTCAAACGGAACCGGTAGTGTTCTCCCTTCTACTACGCCTGTGACAGGGACAATTTCCAACTCTGGAACGGGTCCTATCCCTACTCCAACAGGCGGCATTTCGAACTCAGCTCCATACCCATTGTCCAACTCTACCAATTCCGGCGGACCTACCGCCGCACCTGCTGGCTCGTTCAGCGGCTCGGGGTCCCCAATCTTTACATCAAGACCCTACAGTTCAACCCCATATCCGGTGTCAAACATGAGCCTGTCTTCACATCATACCGGTGGCCCAATTACACCAACCATTTCGGGATCGGGTCCGTTTAGCATTTTCCCCACGGCTTCAGTATCATCTGGTTCTTCTTACTCGTCTGCTGAGACAACCTCAGCACCATATCCCTTTACTAACTCCACTGCTCCTCCTTCGCCCACAGGCACGGCTGGAGGTAGCTCGTCGCCTCTTTTCACGCCGAGCAGCTCTCCTTCTTCGGGCCCATCTGCATCCTCTACAGGTTCAAGTAGCGCAGCTTTGACCTCTGGTACCGTTACGCCACCTTATCCGACATCTAATGGCACTGCAACCGTACCTTACGATACGACATGTACAGAAGAGTGGACGCCGCCTCCAGAGACAAGTCCATGTAATAGTACTGAGATTTCAGCCTGGCCAACATCAACACGTACGGGCAGTCCAGTATCCAGCTACTTCCCAACGATATCCTGCAACGAGACCACGTTCCTTACTTACTACTCTCCCGGTCCGACACTGCCAACTTTTTCGGGTACCCTGAGCTCAACATTAGTTCCAGAAACACAAAGTGGTATGAATTGGCTTTACACCCCTCCAAGAGATCTATTGCTAATAACGGACACAGAAACACAGTCACTATCTGCCATAACCACCAGTGGTTATGGAAGCTCCTCGAGCACTACGCGGAAGTACACCCCCCCGGCGTCGTCCTCTACTTATAACCCAATCGACTCCGGCATGGGCCCGCTGGACCACCATCATAACCACAGCATCGTACCATTGTAAGAGTCTTCCAAAAGAGCGTAATGGTGAAGCAGACAGCTACAGTTGTACGGAGGCTATGCGAAAAGCTAGCATTACACAGCTTGCTGCTTGTGGTCACATCTCTTACGACTACTGGGCAGAGAGAATTTGATAATTGAGAGTAGGTGCTTTGTTGGTGTAATTATCTGGAAATATTCTGAAGCACATATTTCTGCACGTCTCTCTAATCTACTGCTTTCTTGCAACAGCTGCTCTAAGCAGGGCGTTATCATGTTGTTCATTTTCTTTGTTGCGGAACGAAGGCGACGGGATTTATTCAGAAGTTCGATCGCACTCAGACGAATAATAATAATACACTACCTGGGAATCAACTATACCAGCTCTCCAACGGCTTGCAATGAGTACTACCGCAAACGTTGCCCTGGTGACCCGAGTGTTTATGGTCCATAGAAAGGGATAAAGCTGTTGCGCTGAACACTCCATGGTCTTGAAATAACATGTTAAATTTTTTTTTTGGTGGATATTCTGATAATAGTATGGGGTGCATGATGAGATACATGCGAAGAATCAAGATCTGGAAGATTGAATCTGTAAATGGCAATACGTTGTCGTTTATGTGGGTGTCTGGTGTTGTTTTGTTATGTCTTTGTTGATGTTCAGTTTTGCCCCTATCTCCAACCGGGGTGGGGAAGGGGGGTTCTGGGCAACAGCCCCAGGGGGGCTTGCCCACTGCGCAGCGCGGGGGTCCGAAAGCCGGAGACCCAGTTTCATCCCTACTGTGTGGCTGTTGAAGAAAGGACGGACCTGGGATTGAATGGTTATACACTACAATTTTGAAATTTGTCAGTCCCTTTCCCTTCTTGTCTGCCGATTGACATCAAACTCTCCATCGCACTCACTGCCGTTGCGAGTGTTCCCATGCCGTCTGGCAAAAGACCAAACACGGTCGTCGTGAAGCACCATCACAAGTGGCAAGAACGGTTCGTCGCACAAGCAATGGCTTGTCATTGGTGAGCAGGCCATGCCGACCCCCGAGCACGTCATCCGAGCTAAACCCAACATATGCAACATATTTTTTTTCACTCTCGACTGGATTGCCTTGTCTGACTCCGACTTAATGCGGAGAGGACTCCGTTTTGGTTTTATGGAAACCGAGGATTTGTGCAGTTCGTCCCATCCGCCGTTTAGGGCATTTCCGGGACCCGGAGGTTTGAGTTCAGGTAGAGGTTGCTGGTACTTACGTGATGCTGCTTCCGGCACCTTTTTGGAGAACTTCGAGAACCTTTAACCGAAACGACCGTTCACCATATTTGTATTAGTGATGACGGGACAAGTCGAGCAAATAGGACACGCTTGCTATAATTAGGCATTGCTAAAGTCCTGCCATGGAGACGATTAGTACAGGCGCCGCCACGAGTTATCTCCGACTGGCGGGGCGAGGGGAGATTTTCGAAAAACAGATGCGCTTTCACTTCGACTATCGCATATGTACACTGATGATGACCTCTTACACGACGTTGATGCCCCTGTTAGGTATTTCCCCCACAACCGACCCTCGTTCGACAAATGATATACACGTACACCAGATATAGGTATGTTTTACGACCGTTCACTCACAGAGGCATAAAGCTACCGACACTATCGATAACTACTACGTTACGGTGGGTAAATCTACAGCCAGAGAGATTCTGTTCCTTGATCCCGGGGGGGGGGGGGGGGGGGGGGGNAAAACCCAAAAATTTTCCCCCCCCCCCCCTTTTTTTTTTTTTTAAAAGGGCCCCCCCCCCCCCCC